TGTGTGTGTGTGTGTGTGTGTGTGTGTGTGTGTGTGTGTGTGTGTGTGTGTGTGTGTGTGTGTGTGTGTGTGTGTGTGTGTGTGTGTGTGTGTGTGTGTGTGTGTGTGTGTGTGTGTGTGTGTGTGTGTGTGTGTATATATGTTGTGCACAATCTTACAGGAAAAAGACATTAGAGGCCTGAAATGACCGTACAAGCTAATCAAGGCTAAAGCTAACATCGACAGCTAGACATTTGTAATGAATAGTGTCATAATCTCCGTCTGAGCTGAGAGACTTGAAAAATTATTAGAAAGCTGAGAACTGAAATGATGATTAAACCGTCTGACTGTAAAAGTGAAACATGCTGAAAATAATTTGTTAAGCAAGCTGCATTTCACCATTAAGCTGCTTGTTTTGATTTTTTGGACTCAGACTTCAACTCTAAAACCAGTTGTTCAGCACAGAGATATTTGTCTACATTAATAATTCATACTTTTAGAATAATGATGGTTGTAGTTTAGTTATAGTTGCAGTTTGTCCCATTTTCTCACTCACATTAAGTCAAACAGTGAACGATGCTCTTGCTACTTACTACTACTAATAAGTGTGTAGTAACAGGTTGTTGTTCTTTAAAGTAACACTTGTTCTTTTTTTTTTTTTAATTCTCTGGCAAATCGAAGTACTTTTTTCATTGTACTGAATAAAAAAATCAGAAACAAAGAAACACAACCAACAGCCTGTGTTGTTTGAGCCATTTTTAGGAAAGTGAGAAAATTGTTTTTGTTATTTTTTAATAACCACTGTTGTAGAACAATACATTTCCCTCTCAATTCATCACAGTACCTCTGTATCAACTCTCCACGGTTTCATATTGATCAAATTAGACTCACGAGTCTCTGTAAACAAAGAGGGTAATTTGTCAGGAACATTTTGCCGATTGATTCCTTACCGTGTCCCTTTGTCCTGTCAAAACTGCATTGAATGAGCTGTTCTCATTTGTATTCAGGTAAAGTGTGGGGTCAGGACCCCTTGTTTGTCTCGGTGTAATGCAATATGCTGACCAGCTTGCATCCTGCCGCTGAGGTAATGTAACACATACCCTCCCGAAGGCGGAGAGCAGTTTCAGTCCGCAGCAGGAGGCCTGCAGGTGTCTCACTTGTGGCCTGACCTTAACAAGGTTTACCCAAAGCAAGCCGCAGCACACAGAACACCAATACCATTTTCAGCAGGAGGGGAGTGGGAAAAAATACATTGATTCTAGGTACACGATGAGCTTGATGTCCTTCCCTGAGGTTTTTTTTGTTGTTGTTTCTGTTATACACTCATTCTCCTCCTCCTTCTGTGGCCCCTGAGGCTAGTTGAACTGTTTCCAACCCCTCACTTTAAGACAATGATGAATCTTGGAAAAGGTGCCCAGAGAGGCTAATAGTGCCTCATGTACACTGCGTTCACTGTAAACCAAATGCTCCTCATTTTGTCCTTGTCTAGTCTTTGACTGTATATTATTTTCTAATCAAATGTTTCTTTTCTCCACTTCTTCACTGCAGCATGCAGCTGCGATCCCATGGGCTCGGTCCGAGATGACTGCGAACAGATGTCGGGTCTGTGCTCCTGCAAGACGGGCGTGAGGGGCATGAAGTGCAACGTCTGCCCAGATGGAAGCAAGATGGGCATGAATGGCTGTGACAACGGTAATAAGAGAGAGCACCGAGGCCGTCATCTGTGCTTTAAAAAAAGCAGACACACAAGCTTCTTTTCCCTCTCAGCTACTCTCTGTCACTCTTAGGAGGCTGTCTTTCACTTATCCGATTAGTGGATAAGCCTAATAGCAGCCAGTCCATTTTCAATCTCTCCTTCACATCTGTCAGGTTTATTGACAAAGAAAGAAGTGGCTGCAAGATAGCTAATCAATAGTGATTAGGAAAATAGTCAAGTGTACAAAAGGGTCGTTCATGATGCAATTCCCATTGATGTTTTCATTTTTTCTGTATCAAGCTGCGTTTTGGACAATTTGCAGCACTGTACATGTGTATGCTTAGATCTGTGTGTAAGCATTATTGATTGCTTTTGATTAATAATGTAAACTGCCCCAGTGATTGCACAAAGTTAAAAAAAAAAAAAAAAACGGTTGAAGGAAAGGTTACTTCCTGCTGTGGGGGGCCTGCAGCTCCTTGATTAAGATTCACCATCTGACATCGACTGGAAGTCAAATGCTTAATGAAGCCGGCAGTCCCGGCACAGTAGTGAGGCACTCCGCCACACACACAGTCAGATAAAAAGACCGATTCTCAGAGGGTGCAGCATATAAAAGCAGGAGCTAAGTGGTTGGTGCACTGTATGCCTCTGTGATGTTGGAACATGGCAAAGAATGCAGAGTTACAACCCGGCGAGGGGATGCAGCGCCATGGCTGCAGCTGCTGCAACAATACGACTCCAAACAAGCATTAAGATAGCTTTTTCTGTGGAAAAAAAAATAACCAGATGATTCAAAATATACACTTTTACGCAATCATGAAAATATACTTTTTTTGACTGCAGTTTAAAAATACTGTTGCACTCTTTCAAACTTAAAATGTAATGAGCATACATACAGTATATACTGCATATATCTTCCCTCATCCACAAATATCTTGTTTCAGCATCTCATTTCTCATCAGAATAGCTTAGTTACCCAACATCTTGTGTGGACCTTGTTAATTCTGTGGTATTCAAGCCGACAGTATTAGTTCTATGTCTAATGCTCATTAAACCCCAAAGGATGTGTGCACTGAGCTTTGAACCCTGAATCTCTGATCTTCCATAAAAGTGGGAGACTCCAAGAGTGGTGAAGGATGACAGTTAAGTTACCGTGGAACTTCCAGATCCAGTCTGACAAACAGCTGGTGGCTAACCAACCGGACATTGTGGTGGTTCATAAGCTACAGGAGAAAGCAGTGGTGATAGATGTAGCAATCCCAAGTGACTGTAACATCAAGAGGAAGGAGCACAAGAAGCTCGAGAAATACCAAGGGCTGAAAGAGGAAACAGAGAAGTGGAGATCCAACATTTTTCAGTCAGGTCATCTGGACAGTTTCTTTTTTGTGCTGAAACGCTTCGCCTTCAGTCCAGAAGGCTTCATCAGTCAAGGAAACACACAACAAAAAGGATTCTTCCCCCAACAGCTTACTCCAAAGTGGAACAAACCAGTTCTGCTTGTGATAAGATGGTCTCTTTGGTTTCCCCCCTCTGGTTTGTTCCACTTTGGAGTAAGCTGTTGGGGGAAGAATCAGTTTTGTTGTGCATTTCCTTGACTGATGAAGCCTTCCGGACCGAAGGCAAAACGTTTCAGCACAAGAAAAGAAACTGTCCAGATGACCTGACTGAAAAATGTTGGATTATATACCTGGATTATTGAGCATGGACTTTGTTGTTTTCAACCAGAGAAGTGGAGAGTTGGTCTCTCCATGGTGGCAGTGGTCATCATTGGAGTATGTGGTGTTGTGACACCCAAACTGGAATAGAGGCTCCAGCAGACCCCAGGAACAACCTCAGAGATCTCTGTGTAAAATGGCACAGTCCGAGGAACAGCTAAGATTCTGCACAGAATCCCCAGGCCAACTTGATGTGAAACTAAAACAATCCAGTTGAAAAATGGGGTGAACTGGGTGTTAATATAATTTACATGATGTAACTCATTTAAAAAATACATCAAACACAATACAGTTTTTCTGCCCCAAGTGGAGGAGTTTAAGTATCTTGGGGTCTTGTTCACGAATGAGAGAAAAATGGAGCGAGAGATCGATGGGCAGATAGGTGCGGTGTCTGCAATGAAACAGGCGTTGTACGTGTCGTGTATCCATCATGGTGAAGAGAGAGCTGAGTTAAAAGGCGAAGCTCTCAATTTACTGGTCTATCTACGTTCTTACCCTCATCTGTGGTCATGAGCTTTGGGTTGTGACCGAAAGAACGAGATCTCGGATAAAGGCAGTTGAAATGAGTTTTCTCCGCAGGGTGTCTGAGCTCTCCCTTAGAGATCGGGTGAGAAGCTCGGTCATCTGGGAGGGACTCAGTAGAGTCGCTGCTTCTCCACGTCGAGAGGAGCCAGTTGAGGCGGCTCGGTCGTCTGGTTAGGATGCCTCCTGGACGCCTCCCTGGTGAGGTGTTCCGGACACGTTCCATCAGGAGGAGGCCCAGAGGAAGACCCAGGACACGCTGGAGGGACTATGTTTCTTGACTGACCTGGAGACGCCTTGGGATTCTCCCGGAGAAGCTGGTCCAAGTGGCTGGGGAGAAGAAAGTCTGGGCCTCCAGGCTGCTACCCCCACGACCCGACCCTGAATAAGTGGAAGAAAATAGATGGATGGACAATACAGTTTTATTTCAAAATTCAGTCTGAATTTTTTTAATTTTTTTAAATATGAACTCAGTGAGTGATCTAGTAGTTTTTACTTCAAGAGCACCCTAATTATTAAAACTATAAAGCCATCCTTTTGGTATTCATGTTTTAGTAGCAAAAATGACCATTTGTTTAAACAATGTAACTTATTTCATGTTAATTCAAGAGTAAAAAAATCTGTTAAAGCGAGAAAACAGTTCTGAAATTAAAATGTTACTACTGTAACTTAACATTCTAAATAATACAGAAATCAAAGAGGCAATGATTGCTAAACTTTGATTATTCAGTATGAAAATGTTGAACGCTCAAATCAAAGGTAATATAAAATAAATTTTCTGAAACCAGTTTTGTTGACTCTGGCATTACTTTGTTTGAAAGTAGAAATAATTTATTCAGTACGCATGTGAGGATTGTTTTGCAACACACATACTTACGATTTTTGCAAATTGGGTTGTCATAACACTGTAAATAACGACTAAAAACCAAACTTGTTTCATCCACAGGACCTAATGCCCCCAAATCATGTAAAGACTTGACTTGCAGTTTTGGAGCTACTTGCATTGAAGTGAACGGCCAAGCCCATTGTGAGTGCCCATTACCCGACTGCGACATAAAAAACAAATCCAAGGTGGGTTTTTCAAAGAGCCTGCAGAAATAAACAGTTTGAGCCACAAGTTTTAAAAACAGAAGTACCCTGTTTCAGTAGCCCCTGGGGAGTTCACATTTGTTACTGTCTCCCATCCATCCGTCTCTGTCACCTGAGCAGGTGTGCGGCTCAGATGGGGTGACCTACGCCGATCAGTGTCAGCTGAGGACCATAGCCTGTAGGCAGGACAAGGACATTACAGTGAAACACTATGGACAGTGCACAGGTGAGCCTCGTTGATACCTCCATATATCACTCACCCAGTAGTTAAACTGCTGTCACTCCCTGGTCAAGAGATAATGAGCTGTACTACTGGCCTCCTGCTGTTTCTTCACCAATTAATCTCTCTGTCTCAGAAAGTTAAAAAAAAAACAATGGATACACATTTACCATGAGTACCTGCACATGGAAGTAGTAAGAACTTTTGTGTATAATAAAAGCTGTATACATATAGCATGGTTTTAGTAAATATTTAACTTGAAGAGAAACTTTGACTTCATCCCTTGTTTTGAACTGCCTACTATATTAAAAATCGCTAGCGTGGAGGGTAGTGGCATCTTGAGTGTCAAATAAAACGTGGTATTTTTCATGTGTTATTGTCAAATTCAAATAAAGACCTAGCATTCCTCGAAGACAATCATAATATAAACTGCCTTTCTTGTCGAGGTTTTAAACTAAAATAATATTTTTATGTTGAAAAATGATAGTTGTGGTTGATTTGGTCAAATCTTGACATTAGCATTGTCACGCAATATGACAATATTTTGCGTAATCTGTCAATGCTCTGTCATGGGATAACTCTGCATGACTATTGCAACAAATTTTAGCTAAACATTTATGTAAAATGACTGAATTGTAGCTAATTTTTGCATTTACAAAGGTCAATTAGCTGTGGTGGCCATCTGTTGACTCCAATAGTCAATCATTTATAGATGGACGTCTGGTGATTACTTTTTAAGAGGTTTATTGCAATTAGGCTTGTGCAACTCTGGTCTGTGGCCAATACAATACATAGCTTGATACAGTGCCAATGATCCAATTTATTCAAGATAAATGGGCATAAAATAACAGTACAATGTGATCTGATCCAGCCTTTAATCCTAATATGGTGCAGATTAATACGAGTTTTGATTAAACGCATTGCAATTTAATGCCACAACGAAAATAAATTATTTTAAAACAGTTATTGATAATAAATAATTACTGTTTAAAGAATGAATATTTACAAACGGATCTTGTTTAAAATAGCAAAACATTGCCATAAAATCTGAAACACAAATAAAAAAGTACACAAAAAATAAGCCTTGGTACAAAATGAATAATCCTAACAATTAGTACCTCAGCATGGCCAGAAAAAAAAATAAAAAATACTTTATAAAGAATAAAGCATGACCTTTTTCTCTTAAAATGTTAGTAAATTCACATTGCTTGAAGCACATTTTTATTGTGTTTGTTGCTGTTTACACCTGCGCTGCTGCAGTTCTCCTCTTAAACAGTAGGTGCCACTAAAGAGGAATTAATAACAATACAGCTAAATAACAGGAAGTGCAGCCAGAAAAAAAGTTGTTTGCTGTAAAAATGGAAGAGAGGGAATCTGTTAGTCACACACATGTAATTTCACTAACATTTTGGTCATTTTTTTATAATGGATACCAATATGTCAAAACGTACCTGCATGCAGACTTTTAATTATTTAATTGCTTTGATTTTAACGGCACAATGTTCTAATAAACTGATTAATCTATACTGAACAAAAATATAAACCCAGCACTTGTTCTTGCTCCCGTTTTTCATGAACTGAACTAAACTATCTAAGACGTTTTCCATGTACACAACAGGTCTTTTTCTCTCAAATATTGTTAAAACATTTTTATAAATCTGTTAGTGAGCACTTCTCCTTTGCTGAGATCATCCGTCCACCTCACGGGTGTGGCATATCAAGATACCGATTAGAAAGCGTGATTATTACACAGGTGTGCCTTAGGCTGACCACAATAAAAGGCCACTCTAAAATGTGCAGTTTTATCACACAGCACAATGCTGCAGATGTTGCAAGTTTTGAGGGAGCGTGCAGTTGTCGTACTGACTGCAGGAATGTCCACCAAAGCTGTTTCCCGTGAATTGAGTGTTCATTTCTATACCAGGTCACCCTTGTGAAAGAGATCTCGATCTCAACGGGCTCTACCTGGTAAAATAAAGGTGATTGATTGATACCATAAGCCATCTCCAAAGGCTTTTCAGAGAATTTGGCAGTACATTCAACTGGCCTCATGACCACAGACCACATATAACCACACCAGCCCAGGACCTTCACATCCAGCATCTTCACCTTCAAGATCATCTGAGACCAGCCACCCGGACAGCAACAATCGGTTTGCATAACCAAAGAATTTTTGCATTAACTGTCAGTAACCATCTCAAGGAAGCTCATCTGCATGCTTGTCATCCTCATCGGGGTCACCTGACTGCAGTTCGTCGTTGTAACCAACTTGAGTGGGTAAATGCTCACATTAGATGATATATGGCATGTTGGAGAGGTGTTCTCTTCACGGATGAATCCCGGTTTTCACTGTACAGAGTAGATGTCAGACTGCGTGCATGGTGTCATGTGGGTGAGCAATTTGCTGCTGTCAACTTTGCGAATCAAGTGGCTCATGGTGGAGGTGGAGTTATGGTATGGGCAGGCGTATGTTATGGACAACCAACACAGGTTCATTTTATTGATGGCATTTTGAATGCACAGAGATATAAAGACGAGATCTTAAGGTCTGTTTTTGTGCCATTCATCCACGACCATCACCGCATGTTGCAGCATGATAATGCACGGTCCCATGTTGCAAAGATCTGTACACAATTCCTGGAAGCTGAAAACATCCCAGTTCTTGCATGGCCAGCATACTCTCCGGACATGTCGCCTATTGAACATGTTTGGGATGCTCTGAATGTGCATATGTGGCAACTTGTTTCGGTTCCTTTCAATATCCAGCAACTTCACACAGCCATTGGAGGAGTGGACCAACATTCCACAGGCCGCAATAAACAACCTGGTCCACTC